TTCTGTTCAGTGAAAGTTTTTATACTTTCTAACACGTCTTCGAGAGATGGCAGTTCATCGTTGTCTGAATCAGAGATCAATTCGTCATCTGAATCAGTGATCAATATAATTTCTGATGGTGCATCTGTTCTGAGTTTTTTCATATAGTGTTTTAAGTTCAATTTATTGAAAAAAAATCATCTTCACAAAATTTATGTTTGATAGGCATATTATTTATTTGTTTGAGTGTTTGGTTTTGTTCAGAGAGTCGTAGATATTTTTTGTCTTTACGCTGAATTTCATGGTGTTTAAATAAAATATAATGCATGATACAAAATGTGAGTAAGGGCCGAAGTCAGTTACCAGACTCTGCTTCAAATGGAATAGGCGCAAGTTGTTTGGTGCTAATATTCATTTTATAAGTGATTTCTGAAACAGGTACAACTTGAACAAGAATAATTTTTCTATTCCTATAGTCTTTCAATATAGAATTTAATTTCACTTTATCTTACGCGTCTTTAATTATAATTAATTTAACCAATTTAACATCCTGGCCTATAAATTAGAAAGTGCAATATAATACATGGTAGTGCTTGATAAGTTATTTTAAGAAATAGGTATTTACAAAATACACGATTTCATTTAAGCAACGCGTATAATTAAATTCTATTGTATTACACGTGTTATTTGCAAGTAAAAATTAAAAATTTATTATAAAATTTATTATAAAAATCTATTTTTAAACTTCCTGGTTTATAAATGGTGACCCAGATACGTTCATATATATTAGTTCGTTATTTTTTTTACTGTGACGAATTTTCCTGGCTGAATTAAAATGACAATATTCACGTACCTTTCTGATTATTACGCATCGCAAATATCTTAGTTTACATATATACAGATATATATTAAATTATGCTGGATGGGCCCAGTCCCTTTGCGTACTTTAGCTCTATTTCTTTGTTTGATATCTTTACTTACTGTAAAAAGGGAAACATTTCTGAGTGGTTAACCGAGTAGTTAACTTATAAGTATGCTATACCTTTTCAATATATCATACTAGGACTAATAATGAAAGAGGTGTAGAAATTAGGGCTGTAGAATACATTATGAAGTTCTAATTTGGATTACATTAAGCAAGACACATTTGGGATCTTTGAATATTGAATACTAAATGAGTTAGCTGTCTTTATTTAAGAGGGAAAGATCCTTCTATATACATATACTGTAGTGAAATTTCAGCATTAACAGATCTCAATATCATGTATTTTAAATATTTTTTATTTAGCTAACCAATCACATAACTTATTTCAGCATCCATCGATACCAAAATACATACCAGTTCTCTTTTTAAACTAATGTATGTGGAAGATTCAATTATTCTAAGATAATTATCTATGGTTAGAAATATACTATGAACATTTTTATGAATATAATATAAAATATAAATTGATAAAAAAATTTAATCTTTAAGTTTATAGGAGTTTAAAACAAGTCTTTACAGTCATTACAAAGTAAATTTCTATTTAAAATAAGAATTGATATCTTAAATGGTTACTTTTGCTAAACAACTTGTAATGAATAAAACATGTAACATTAATTGATATTCTAATTAAATCCAATTATATGGTTTTGACACATCAATTTGTCTTATTACGCGTTACAAATATCTTAGTTTACATAAATATATTTAATTATACTGCTTTGTTTAATATCTTTACTGTAAAAGTGGCATAGACTTTTGCGTAATCGTTTAAATTATTTTTGAAACAAGAACATTCTTAAACAAAATATTCTTTAGCATTTCTGATTGGTTAATTTATTCGTGTGTTATAGCATTTCAATATAGATTAAGTTGGAATTCTATACACAAAGCTTTCTAAGATTAATTAAGCATACTTGTTAAAAGCTATTTTCACAAGAATTGTATAATTACGCATCGTTAAATATCTTATATTACAAATATATATTGTATAATACTTACAGTCCAACCCCTATTTTAGCTTTATTTCTTTGTTTAATATCCTTACTTAATTTAAAAGCAACACAAACTTTTTGCGTAATTGCTTAAATGATTCCTGAAACAAGGACAAAATTCTTGCACATTTCTGAGTAGTTAATTTTATCGCATACTATATCTATTCTGTATAGATTTAATTTGGAATTATATACACAAAGTGTTTTAAGATTAATAGACATATATGTGAAGAATAATATCACAGAAACAAAGAATTATGATTTACTCATCACTCGTCACTTATTAAAGCTAGATATGATCTTTTGACAGAATACCATTTTTTACAGGTGTAAGTTGATATTAGTTATTATTCAAAATTATTATAAATATAAATCCTGTTCATTGCTTAAGAATCAAATCGCAAATACGATAAAACAATTATATATTTTTTTTAAAAATGTCATTCAGATGTATTATCAAATTCGAACAGAACACTTTCGACAGAAGAAATATATTTCGAGATTCAAGAGATAACAAAAAAGCGAGTCAGAAAGGGATGAAAGATAAAAAAGATCAAAGATGCCCTTCGAACAAGAAGAAGTCGAGTTTGAACGATACGTTGTTAATTTGCCTGATGACAAGATAGTAGAAA